TAAAATGTTTGAGTTTTTAACTTAAGAGTAAATGGCATTTGAATTTATAATATAACTTATCTATTTCACGATTTTATCCTTTTCAGGCATTACCTACATTCACTACATTTACAATTATAACTATTTTTGTTATTTTATTTTATTTTCTTGTTTTATTACATAAAAGACTCTCGATTTTTAACACGCTTATATTAGTTACACCTGTATGTATGTATGTATGTATGTATGTATGTTTGTAACTCTCCAAACGCCACGTATTATCGCNGCTGTTTTAGATTACAGTTTGTAACTCTCCAAACGCCACGTATTATCGCATATTCCGTCGTCTAGACTAGACTGTCATAACGCATTCACCCCACCCCACGCCTCGCTTATTACACGCCGGCAATACTATTCCTGTATAAATTTTTATATATATAAACAAATTTTTATTTTGACTGACCATTATCATCCACGTGCATACGGCTTATATACGGCGTATATATTCCTACCGCCGTTTATACCTCAGGTATAATGTTAGTCCGACCCGCCCGCCCACAAAACACAACTGTACCTAATGCATGATACGTTTACGTANAAAACTTCCATAACTTTTTGAAAAATCAACAAATCAATATAATTTTTTTTTATACTAAAACCTTAGATATTTACCTTTCATTTTCTATCACTTAACCTACTCATTTGGGGGGATTTAAAATGGCAACTTTTTTACAAAAATTAATTTTTTCAACTTAATTTTTGAAAATGTTCCGGAAAGACTGCGTCCTTTAAACATATATCAAATTAAAGCTTATTTTATGTACTACAAAATGAAAAAAAAAAATTTGTCCCGACACTTTTTTTTCTACATTTAAACGGCTGCCGTAGTTAAAAAAACACTATTTTTGTGTTAAAATTTTCGATTTTCGATTTTAAATTTTCAACTTAAAAATGCTATAACTTTTTGAAAAATGTATATATCAGCACAAATTTTTTTTTTCTAAATACATTATAAGTACATCTTTCATTTGACATACTTTTTATTAAAATTGGACAATTTCCCCTTATATAGGGGGCGTTCAAAACTTAAAATATTGTAAAAAACATAGATCTTTTTCAACTGAACTTTTGAAAATGTTCCGGAAATACTGCGTCCTTTAAACATATATCAAATCAAAGGTTATGTTATATACTATCAAATGAAAAAAAAAAATTTGTCCCGACATCTTATCTTCTATGTGCAAATGGCTGTCGAAAATTTAAAAAAAAATGTAATGTTTGCGATAAAAATTACATTTTATCGGGATGTTTTTTGTACTTAAAACTGCCATAACTTTTTCAAAAATGAACAAATAAAAATAATATTTTTTTGTATTGAAACCTTAGATATTTCCCTTTCATTTGATATAATTTTTTTTGAAAATCTAACACTTATTCTGCTCACTGGGAGGATTTAAAATAGTAACTTTTTTACAAAAACTAACTTTTTCAACTTAATTTTTGAAAATGTTCCGGAAATACTGCGTCCTTTAAACATATATAAAATTAAAGCTTATTTTATGTACTACAAAATGAAAAAAAAAATTTGTCCCGACGATCTATCTTCTATACGCAAATGGCTACCATATTGAAAAATATACTATTTTTGTATGATAATTATGGGTTTTGTATTTTATTTTAATAGAAGTTGATGTTGCTTTTGCAATTATCCATCAATTTTTTTAAATTAAACACTATCTACAAATTTGCATCAAAGCGTTTCTTATGATAGTGATTTTAAACACTGTCAGATTAAATCTATACTGGACCCTAGTATGCAATATCTCCACTATACCGCGACCCCACTGTGCTACCGTTTATTTTTAATTGATCATTTTTTAAACTATATTTATTAAAAAAATAATTGATATAGAAAATCACCGTTATTCTTATTCTTATAATTTTTTGTTTCATTTTTTTTTTTAGTATGTGGGGCTAAGTATCTCTTGTGACAAGCAGCTCCTCAATATTAAAAGGGGATTGCCTTTTACTGTACGATGGTGTTTTTTATTTGTCGAGAGCAAGAATAAAGAAATTTAGAGGGGGTAATAAAATATGTACACCTGCTTATGAATGTACAAAATACGAATCATTATATTATAGTTCTGCAAGCATTAAAACTCTTAAAAGTAAAGGGAAAAGGGGGGATAACTTACATACTAAAACAAGATTACTCTTATGAAATGATACAATAATAAAATGAAAATAAATTATCTAATTAACTTACCTGATAACTAGATAGCTTAAAGACATCGGAGAGAGTGGTAAAGTAACTTATAATGAGCCTAAATTAATAATATACAAAATCAAAAAAAGACTTTAAGAAGAGCGATTAATAATTGTACGGCTGCTGATTATAAGAAGCACGAGACATGAGTGCCGTAAACGTACAAAACAAATTATTACGCTCGCTGAAGAAGAGACGATAGCCGAACATGGCATGAAAACGTTCGAACCGGTCATACACGAGCTCCACACTCTACCTAACACATGTAATAAACAAAACTAAAGCTGGACAGAATATAATATGTGTTAAATAATAAGGGAGGTGATAATGAAGGGATAACTATGGTTTGTACTATGTTGAGTTATTAAATGATAAAATATCCCTACCTCACTTATTCTTATTCTTGCTCAACTACGAAAGGAAATAAAAGTAAGTGCGAATATTTATTTGCATGGTTTATTCCTTAAAAATTCACGTTGTTTAATATCAATCCTATAAGTATATTACAAAGATAGGAGATGCCTTTTCCAAAAAAATGTCCAAGCTGCTGATGGTCTATGATAAATTGAGATAACTGGGGTGTAATAACTAAAAATAAAGTTGAAGGGGATGGTATTAATAAAGAAGAATGATAATGCCATCATTTTTAAAGACATAATAATTACAAGAACTTTGTTTCTAGGTATTACTTGATTAGTGTAGTTAGTGTATTAAAACTACCCTTATCAAAATGTAATAATTCACTGATGACAATAGATTCTCGATTGTTGACTTGTAGTTTTTAAGTGGTATTTAAAATTATAGTAGGTAAGTTGATAAAAGAGAATTGTACGGGAATTATATAAGCGTATATATTTTAAGCAAAGAGTTAGTTATTTCAACAAATTTACGTATTAAACTTAGTGAGAAAAGTTAAGATTATAGACACACAGTATAAATAACACACTCGAGTTCGCAGGGAATAATCTTACAGTTACTTGATAAAAAATATTGTTAAGTGAAGGAAGACCAAAAAAAAAAAAAAGGAGAGATGTTATTGAATGCGATATGAGGACAGCTGATGTGAGCGTAGAGGATGTGGGAAATCGTGTCAAGTGGAAGTTTAGGATAAGGGTGGCCGACCTCAAGTAGTTGTGATTAAGGTGAGAAAGAAGAAGAGAAAAAAGAAGAACTAAGCTGTTTTAGATTACAATATTTTTATTCATTAACAATAAACTTTATAATTTTACAAATCGTAGGTCAAGAATTAAAAGAACGCATAAATCAAAATTGGTATTTTTCTAGTATTGGTCTATTCTAATAAAAATATTTTAAAGTAAAAATGGTGTAACATTAATTATATTGGAAGGAAATTTTTTTTAAGAAAAATAAAAATATTTCATTAACTTTAATGGAATATGAAAACTTAATATTACACTCATAAAAAATAAAAAATCAGTTGATACGCTTTTTCAATCTTAAATTCTCAAAATGATACTTAACGAACAAAATAAGAGAAAACTAATATAATAGTTAGAAATGAAGATAATATTATGTAAAAATTGAGTAATAAAAACATAAATTGAAATGTACATTTAACATCTAAAAAATAATTCGTTTTTATCAAAGAAAAGAAATTTCATAAAAGATTTAAAGTAAAACCAACTACTTTCAATCTCCTCATAGAAGCGAAAAATGCAATTTATAATCAACTTAAATCATTAGTAATAATGAAATACAATAAAAAAATGAATACAGGTATTACAATATGTTATAACTATAGAATATTTTAAGCTTAAAAAAAGCTTTATTTTAAATAAAAATAAATATTAATTTTCCTCGTCTGCATTGTACTTTTTTGCGATTGCTTTAATTACAATATTGAAAACACCACAATCTTTAATTTCACCAAGCCCTGCTTCTTTTAATAGTTTCCTGTTCGATAATATTATATACATTAGCGATGCAACTCAATTCGAGGTTGTATGTGAATAAATTACCTATAAAATTTCTAGGGTTGGAGTTAGAAGAATGTTAAGATAATTTTTTTATTAAAATAGAAAAGTTAAGAAAATGTAGAAACATGTAAAAAATAGTTTATTTAATTCAAACGAGCATTTTACAAATTGTATAGAATATTTAGTAAGTAAGAAAACGGGTTTCTATAGTTCTCATTGTTCGTAACATTTTACCTGTTTCCTTACTTAACGTACACTCAGTATAATAATAATAGTAATTGTATACAGAGTGTTCAATAAGTTAGGAAACAGGTAAAATGTTACAAACAATGAGTACAATAGAAATTCGTTTCCTTATTTACTGAACACCCTGTATATTATAGATGCCAAATTTAACCAATGTGCCATTGTAATCACTAAATAATTAATGCTGCCCACTTGAAAAATAAGAAATTGGTTGATATGCTTTTTAAATCCTAGACGATCATAATGGTACTTAGCTCACAAAATGTGAGAAAACTAAAATGAAAAGTTAGAAATGAAGACAATTGTAAAGTAAAAATTCAGTAATAGAAACATAAATTCTAAGGTACATATAACATCTAAAAAGTAATAAGTTTTCACCAAGAAAAAGAAATTAAAAAAAATTATTTAAAGTAAAACCAATTACTTTTAAGCTTCACATTAAAGCTAAAAAATGCGATTTATAATCAACTTAAAGCATTAGTAATAATGAAATACAAACGATGTAGGCATTAAAGAATATTTTAAGAGTTTAACTTAAAAAAACTTTATTTAGAATATAAAAAAAATATTACTTGTCCTCCTCTTTATAGTATTCACTTGAGATTTTTTTAAATAAATGATCAATATGATCAAAATCTTCAATTTCACCATATTCTGTTTTTTTAAATTGTGCCCTGATCGATAATATTTTCAACATTACATCGCCTATGTCGTATAAATACTGGCCTAAAAAATACAAAATCATAAAATAAAAAATCGTTTTAGATTCGATGCAAATCTGAGAAGGTATTAATTTTACCATGATGTGTTAATTTATTTATTTCTGTGTCTGTCACTACTTTTTTTCAGCTTTCACTGAATAGATTTTTCTCAAGCATACATTAATAGATTATAAACCGTCTCTAGTTGAAGAAATTACCCTTAAAAATTGAAAAATTTGCCCTCGTTCCCCGTAAATAGTGAAAATCCTCCAAAAAATTACGATTTTTAAAATCGGTAAAATCGACATTTTTTAATTTTTTTTTTCTAAAAATTGTCATAACTTATTAAAAAAGAACAAATCAAAATCTTTTTTTTTAATTAATATCAAAGGTGTTTTTCCTTCATTTTATATAAATGTTTTGAAAATCCGACCATTTATCTGCCCATAGGAGGTGATTCAAAATAGCGACTTTTGTACAAAAATTATAATTTTTAAACTTATGTTTTGAAATTTTTTGGAAATACTCCGAGCTTAAACCATAAGCTAAAATAAAGCTTATGTTATCTACTATAAGTTTAAACCAAAAATTTTGTTCCGACGACTTATCTTTTATGTGAAAATGGATGTCGTAAATAAAAAAACATGTAATTTTGGTATTAAAATATACAATTTTATATTTTATTTTTTCAACTTTACATTATAACTTTTTGAAAAATGTATGGTTCAATACAATTATTTTGCCATAAATATTTTGTTTACTTTTTTCTTTTGATAACAATTTTTACACACAATTTAAACTTTTTCAACTCAATTTTTGAAATTTTTCAGGAAAGATTGACACTTTTATTTAATCTTAAATTAAAGCTTATGCAATATACTATACTATGAAAAAAAAAAATTCGAGATATAGTGATCATGGTTATCATATTCAAAAATGAGCTATTTTTATGTTAAAATTCTTGATATTGTATTTTAATTTATTTTAATATACCTTATAATGGGGTACACTGATTTTATGAATATTATATAAAACTAATTGATATAGAATAAAAAGTTAAACATATTTCAATTTTTTTTTTCTTTTGTATCGAAAAAATTATTTTCAACATATGAATTAGCTTAAATTCCCATTTTATCAAAAAACAAATGTGACGAACGTTTGCCTATTCAGGCAATTTGGCCTGTGCCAATGATTTTTTTGCAATTTTTTCTCAATTATTTTTGAGTTAGAATTTTGCTTTTGAATAATCCACCAATTTCTTAAAATTAAACACTATCTACAGATTTGCATCGAAGTTTTTCTTATGATAATGATTTTAATCACTGTCAGATATCATTTATACTAGTCCTATCTATGGTTTGGTTGGGTTGTTTTTATTTTTAAATAATTTGTTAAATAATTACTGTTACCATCATTAATTTTTTTTTTCAATTCAGAGACAGCTATTTCTATATTTTTTCCGTCTATATCTTCCTAAAATATACAAAAAAGTTTATTATATAACATTTAAGTTGAAGAGGGCATTAAAAAGCGAGAGTATTGTATGCTGCGTTTTAATAATACAAACAAAATATAAATTCACTAAATTTTATAAAATCACAATCAATAATTGAACACTTACAAAGAATCGTGTTTATGGCTGAAAAGAGCAAGTAAAAAACTCTCCCCTTGCGAAATCATCTACGAGCAATTTTTTTTTGCTTATAAAAGTTATACTTACATAAATATTTTTGTTTTTAACAACCACAAAATACTAATTACAGTTAACTAGTGTTATATTAACTTAGATTATTAATATATTATATTTATTGACAAATCTATTACTTGATTTTCGATTACAAGTAAATCAACTACTATGTTAAAAGTAATATATCTTAGATCATTGTAATTATAACATCGACTGTTTACAAATTGTAATCATGATTTTTATCCTTTAACTAATATTTTGTAACCATTTCTTTTTAATCAGTTAAATAATTAAACAAAAATTATAAATAAATAAAATCTAATTAGACTTTAATAAGTTAAATTATTATTGAATAACTTAATTATTAAACCATAATTGTATTGGTCCGTAAGTTGCTATCGACCAGTCATTTTTTAATTAGATAATTTTTTATTTTATAAACTAGTTTAAAACATATATTGCCATTTTAAAAAAATGTTGAAACCTCACTAAGATATAAGGGATAGACCTAAATTTTTGTAATTGTGTATTAAATGGGTTTCAAAAATACACCAATAAAAAGATATTAGCTTATGTTATTACCAATTAAAAATTTTTTATTAATCCCAAATTTCTTTAAAATAAAATTAATTGTGAATTGAAAAAAAAATGAAATTTTATGTTTTCGACGATTGTAATATTGTAGTATATTTTCGATAGTAAAAAATTAGGGTAATTTTTCAATATTTGATTGTAATGTTTAACTTGACATGATTTCAAATTTTTAATTATAGATCGGCAAAATATTATTGTTGAAAAATAAAAAATATTATACAATTCATAAGTGCAAAATTATACTTCACTTATTAGCGCAAACAACAATAATAACTTAATTCAAGTTAAACAAATATTTATTGTTCCATTCATGTAACATAAAAAAACTTCCGTGCTACTCGAGGGATGGTAATAGTTGAAATAGGGTAGTTCAACAGGTTTTCTAATTTTATTCGAAAAATAAACTTATCACAAAAATGTACTGAACAGAAATTACAGGAAAAATTATTTTTCATTAAACGTACAAATATAAAAATTGTTTTAAATCTATTATTTTTCGTTTATTCATACATATTTAGTATTAAAAAGTATTTAAATAATAAATCACATCACTTATTTAATTAATTTTAATCCTCATTCATATATTTTACGACNTAAAAAGTATTTAAATAATAAATCACATCGCTTATTTAATTAATTTTAATCCTCATTCATACATTTTACGATCATATTTTTATTCTTAAATACTATTATTATAAAACGGGCACTGAAAGTTTTCTTCTTATGTAAATAATTGAAAATATTTTTAAATAAAATTATAATTACGATTCCAAAAAGATCACTGTATCCAATCGAATCAATCAATTTAATGCAAAGACTCTTTTCAATCCGACCATCATTGTCTTTGTCTAAATCACAGAATTTAGTTGAGATATTATTCAAGTCATTTTGGTTCAGTTTTTCTACCTAAAGAATGTCAAGTAATTTATTAAATGATTCACATAAAAAAAAAATTAATTAATAATGTTATTTTACATTTTTTGCATCATCACCACATTTTTCAACATTAACCAAAAATTTCAATAACTTGTAAAACCTTATGGGTAATTGATCTATAAAATATTAATACCTTAAATAGAAGATGATAAAAATTTCACATTGCACACTTTTTCACAAAAATTATTGAAAATATAAACAAATTTTCTGAGTAAAAGTTTTTGTCACAACTTATTACATTCTATTTTGTTACCTCGTATTTAAAAAAAATATTTTAAGAGGTTAACTTTAAAAATCAATTAGACCAGTATTGTGTTTCCCTCAACCATTTATCATGTTATCAACCTATATGGAAATGTATCATGATCTGAATCATAATTACAACGTAGCCTAGTGATAAGGTAAGTCTCTAAGAGACTTCGTGTCACGGATTTTAATCTTGTAACATGCCTCACATTCAAATCATTTTCATATGATTCCCGGTACACTTTTAATGACTGCCCATCAATCTCTTGTGAGTCACAGTATTTTAAAATTCTATAACTTATTATTCATTTAAAAAATAATATTACATAAAATATATCTGATATAAATATTATTTTAGTACTAACTATTTGAAAATTGATGTTAGATAACATAGTTAAGTTATTTTGGTGACGTTAGAGGCATTATTGTTATTAATATTTTTTTAGTGGTGTAATGATTAATGTATTTCTACATTATTCTAATATTATATCGAGTTATATACTTTTCGAGATTGCTAAATACAAATTGAGTAAAACAACATAAATAAGAAAGGAATATGTCCCTTTTGACCTTGTACTATACTAACATGTGTAAAAATACATTAAATTGTCTTCTTAAATAATATTAATGTACCCAGTGTGTTGTTTAATAATATCAACAATCATAAAACTTGTAATAAAGATATAAATAAAGAAATAAGAGATCATGTAGCTTATGGAATAATCAAACAATTTCTTTAAATTAAACACTATCTACAGATTTGCATCGAAGCGTTTTTTATGATAGTGATTTTAATCACCGTCAGATATCATTATACTTGACCTAATTATGCCACGTCATCGCTTTGCCACGACTCCCTGTGTTGAGTTTTTTACTTAAAATTACCATAACTTTTTTAAAAACCAAGTCCATATAACTTTTTTTTTTAATTTTTAAGTAGAATTACATGTATATATTTTCATTTTAAATTTTAATGCAGATAGAGTATTTTACTGATAGATATATAAAAATATATTTTTAAAAATAATTAAAGTTAAAAATTATACGAATTATAAATTACCTTCATTATTATAATCATTGTATATCTCTTCAATATTATTTGCCATTAAAACTCTTTTAATGATTTCACGATTTGAATGAACATATATCAACCATTGATAATGTTTTATTTGGGGCGCATTAAGTCCCTCGCTCTTTAAATATTTCAATATAATAATTAATGAAAATTTAAATTAATAAATTAATAAATATTTACCTTTGTGCTAGTAAAAAAACATACTAAAAAAAAAATAAGTATAGTTTTTAAATGCATGACAATAATTTTTCTATTTAAGAAACCAAAAATTTAAAAAATAATTATAAAAATGTTTAATTTTATATGAGTAATTTTACGTATGTTTTGCAATTTATACTAAAATAATTTTTACAATTATTGTGTAAATATTAATTAGTTATTCTAAAACAATGTTTTTCGTATAAAAAAAAATAGATATTAATGTACATTACATAATAAAGTTATGCGTCATAACTCGACTTATATTTCCAATAGTTTGTATAATTTTATCACTTAGTGTTTTAATTTAACATCCTAAATGTAAAAAGTATTATTACAGTTAAAATTAATATTTCACTGACTTCAAATTATAACATTATTTGCAAAAAAAGAAAAAATATAGATTATAATGTATTTAACATTATTATTGTCACACTTAAAAACAACTATTTTTATAAACATATCATGTGAAGTTTAATTTACCATTTAAAACGTAAAAAACATGGTAAAAGATTAATAAATCTTGAAATATTTTTAGCTTCGATGCAAAGCTGAGAAGGTATTAATTTTACAATGATGTGTTTTTTTGTATCTGTTATCACTTTTTCTTAGCTTTCAGTGGATCGATTTCTTTCAACGATACGTCAAAAGATCACAAATCATATTTTAACAAAGACTTTACACTCAAAAATTAAAAATTATCCCTCGTTTATCGTGAATGAGGCAAATCTTCAAACAAATAACAAATTTAAAAATCGCTAAATTTCAAAAAATTTTTTTGCTTAAAAATGCGATAATATTTTCAAAACTGAACAAATTGATATAATTTTTTATGATAAAATTACCTTTCATTTGATATAATTTTTTTTAGAAATCGGACCATTTAACTTTAAACAAGAAGACTTCAAAACTTAAAAATGCACTAAAAAACAAAAAGAACTATTTCAACTTAATGTTGAATAAATTCTGGAATTACTGACACTTTTATATATAAATTAAATTAAAGCTTATGTAATATACTTTAATATGAAAAAGAATAATTTTAGATTTTAGTTTGTTTTTATAGTGAAAACTAACATAAAAGTTAATAAAAAAAAATAAGAATATAGTAAAAAAATAATTTTTTTATATTTTTAATTTTATAATGCTATAACTTTTTAAAAAATATATGGATCAATACAATTTTTTTATGATAAATAATATTTATATACCTCTTTTATTCAACATACATTTTTTTAAATAAAACCATTTCCCTTATCATATCGCATTCAATAACATCTCTCCNAAATAAATATAGTTTAAAAAACTAAAAAAACACGCTTTTAAAGTACATCGAACTAAAAAGTTAAAAATAATTTTTAAAATAATTATGAACAAAAAATACTAGTATTATTGTGATAAAAGCGTCGGGCGCTCAATATACGAAAAATATGGCACAAAGCACCCACGCTTTTATCACAATAATACTAGTATTTTTTGTTCATAATTATTTTAAAAATTATTTTTAACTTTTTAGTTCGATGTGCTTTAAAAGCGTGTTTTTTTAGTTTTTTAAACTATATTTATTTGGTCTTCCTTCAACATTCATTTCTGCAACTGTTCTTACGGCTTCCGATTATTCTCTCCTAAAACACGACCATCTTCTCTCATTTTATCCACTATTGACGCTACACCTATTCTTCCTCTTATCCTATCTTCTCTAGTCACTCCACTCATCCAACTAAACGTGCTCATCTCTAATACACTCATTCTGTGCTCTACTTTCTTATCAACCGCCCAACACTCTGAACCATACATCATTGCTGGTCTCACTACAGTCTTGTAGAATTTACCTTTCAGTCTCATTGGAATTTTTTTATCGCATAAGTCACCAAACGTTTCTCTCTACTTCAACCACCCGCACTTAAACCTGTGCCTTACATCCTCGTCAATACCATAACTCTTCTGCACAACTGATCTAAGTATAAAAATATACTAAATATACTAAATATACTAAATATATAAAAATATAATAAAAATTGATCACTTGTGGCTAATTAATTAAGTAAAATTAAAACTATATTAAAAATATTATTAATTTAAAAAACTAAAAAATATTTTTAATATTAAAAAAGTTTAAAGAACCAACTGTTTTTGTTTTATAAGTTCTCCTTTCACCGTTATCGGTCCCTTTTATTATACCATATCATATGGGCTCCTACAAAATATTATATCTTAGCTTTATTGTTACTGATATACATGTTTCATTTGACTTTAAAATGAAATAACTATGTAATTGATAAAATTATATTAAAAATTCCAACGTCATTTATTATTTTAAAAAAATCTCAAATATTGCCCAAATACTGTCCCTGTCTCATTAAATGAGATTTAATTACCTGAAAGAGACACAGACAATCGCGTACCTTAGTTCTTCTTCTTCTTCCTCACCTTAATCCTAACTACTTGGGGTCGGCCACCCTTATTCTAAACTTCCACTTGACACGATCTCCCACATCATCTGCGCTCACATCAGCTGTCCTCAAATCGCATGCAATAGCATCTCTCTATCTCTATTTTGGTCTTCCTCTACCTCATCTTCCTTCAACATTCATTTCTACAACTGTTCTTACGGCTTCCGATTATTCTCTCCTCATTACATGACCAAACCATTTGAGTCTATTTTCTATCATCTTATCCACGATTGACGCTACACCTATACTCCCTCTTACATGCTTATTTCTTATCCTATCTTCTCTAGTCAATCCACTCATCCATTTAACGTTCTCATCTCTGCTACACTCATTCTCTGCTCTACTTTCTTATCAACCGTCCAACACTCTTTTGCACAATTGATCTTAAATACTTAAAACTCTCAATCTCTCCAATCACTTCCTTGCCTATTGTCACTCACCTCTTCATTTCGGCTATCTTATGTTCTCCTTTGTCAAACTCGTACTTTATATATTCTGTCTTACTCCTACTTATTCTTAAACTCTTTTTTTCAAGAGCTGATCTCTACACCTCTAGCCTTTGATTAATTTGCTCCTTATTTTCTTCTATTAATACTATATCGTCTGCAAACAGCATGCACCATGCCACCTTTCTTTGTATTTCTCTAGTAATTTCATCCATCACTATAGAAAATAAGTAAGAGCTTAAAGCAGAACCCTGATACACTCCTACTCTTACTCGAAAACCTTTTTTTTTTTTTATTCCACGACCGGCCTACATGTGGGCCGCCCCGGAACTACNACACGACCGGCCTACATGCGGACCGCCCCGGAACTACCGTTAGGTATTGCCTCAGGGCGGCCCACGCCGTCTCTAAAACTCACACCACCACGTTGTGAATCAGCCCGAAATTAATCAAGAGCTGATTCACAACGTGGTGTGGCCTCCCCCGTTAGCCGGATCCCAAAAGTCGGGATTCGTTGCCCGGGTTGCACCACGTGGTGGTGGGGGCAGGACTTTGCGAAGGGGGCATAAAATAACTCACAAACACGTAAACATGAACACACGAATACCTAAGGCGCCGGCCTAAACCAGCGCCTTAGGTCCTCCTGCACCGGGCGGCGCGGCTGCCGCTGCCCCAGGCGTTCGGCTTCCTCCTTCCTTTTCAGGACGAACGCCTGGACGAGCCTCCACGCCTCCCGGCTTCCCAACATCAGGTTCACCAAGGACCCGACGCGGATCGTGGACCCCAGACGGGACTCCAGCTTCGGTCTTGTCCAGGGCGAGGCTCATTCGGAACACCGCGTCGTACGCGATGTTCCACAGCAGAGGCTCGAGAACCGACCCTTGCGGGAAACCTCCCGTCACAGGTCTGGTTCTCGGGCCCGCGGCGCTCTCGTATGTGATGACCCGGTCGCCGAAGTACGACCGGATCATCCGCCCGAGGTACGGAGGCACCCGAAACGCGTCCAGCGCTCCGAGGATGTGTGACCATCGCACGGAGTTGAACGCGTTCCGGATGGACATCCGGAGCCTGGTCAGGCTCACCGCCACCCCGAAGCCCGGTCCGTTCTCGGCCCTGAGGGCCAGGCCCCTAAAGAGGGAGGCCGCGTCGTCCATCGACCTCCCCCTCCTAAAACTGAACTGGCCCTCGGCCAGCCCCCCCACCGAGGCTAGGTGGGCTTCGATACTGGTGACGAGCAGCCGCTCGAGGATCTTCCTCAGGTCGTCCAACATGCACAGCGGTCGGTACGACGAGGGGAGACCCTCGGGCTTGTCACCTTTCCTCAGAAGCACCAGCCTGGCCTTCTTCCACCTCAGACGCTCGGCCTCCTCCTTTTGGCTCATCACCGATTCGGCGAACGCCTGAACCAGAGACCACCCCTACCGGCTTCTCAGCATATGGTCCACCATGGAACCCACACCGAACGCGGACCCCAAGCGGGATTCCAACTCCTCCCGCTCGTTGGCCCACGCTTCGCACCGGAAGAGCGTATGCAGGGCATTGTCCGCTTCTCCCGGGCGATCCCGACAGTGATTGCACGTCGGCGCGANCAAGCGGGATTCCAACTCCTCCCGCTCGTTGGCCCACGCTTCGCACCGGAAGAGCGTATGCAGAGCACTGTCCGCTTCTCCCGGGCGATCCCGACAGTGATCGCACGTCGGCGCGGCTGCCTTCCGAATACCGTGAAGGTATTCGTTGAAGCAGCCGTGACCGGACATCACCTGGGTCAGACGGTATGTCATCTCCCCGTGAGTCCGGCCAATCCACCTGTCGAGCCGGCTGGGTCCGATGAGGGACCTAGTCCACGCTCCCACGGATTCCTCGTCGGCCAGTCGCTGACGCCACAGTTGCAGCCGGTCCTCCGCACGAAGCGGCTGACCGGTACTCTTCCGGAGCTCGTATCCGTTGGCGCGTTCGACGGCCAACAGGTCCGCGGGCGGCAGAGAAGCCAGGATCCTGGCCGCCACTCCGGATACGGTGCGGTATGCGCACACCGTCCGGAGAGCGGCCCTTCTCTGGACCCGGTTCA